CCAGCCCGGCCCAGCCGCCAGCGAGGTCCCCCAGATGAGCCCTGAGCTGGGCACTGGCTGGAGGTCCCCACGCACCACAGACCGCGTGCACTCAGCACCCTGCTACCCAGCCACTGCTGGGAGCTGTGCAGCCACATATGGGAAGCCACACGCAGCTGACGGTGAGCTGCACACCACCCTGCACACCGCACGCAGCCAATGGTGCCCTGCACACCAGCCCGCACTCTGCACGCAGCCAATGGTGCCCTGCACACCAGCCCGCACTCTGCACGCAGCCAATGGTGCCCTGCACACCAGCCCGCACTCTGCACGCAGCCAATGGTGCCCTGCACACCAGCCCGCACTCTGCACGCAGCCAATGGTGCCCTGCACACCAGCCCGCACTCTGCACGCAGCCAATGGTGCCCTGCACACCAGCCCGCACTCTGCACGCAGCCAATGGTGCCCTGCACACCAGCCCGCACTCTGCACGCAGCCAATGGTGCCCTGCACACCAGCCCGCACTCTGCACGCAGCCAATGGTGCCCTGCACACCAGCCCGCACTCTGCACGCAGCCAATGGTGCCCTGCACACCAGCCCGCACTCTGCACGCAGCCAATGGTGCCCTGCACACCAGCCCGCACTCTGCACGCAGCCAATGGTGCCCTGCACACCAGCCCGCACTCTGCACGCAGCCAATGGTGCCCTGCACACCAGCCCGCACTCTGCACGCAGCCAATGGTGCCCTGCACACCAGCCCGCACTCTGCACGCAGCCAATGGTGCCCTGCACACCAGCCCGCACTCTGCACGCAGCCAATGGTGCCCTGCACACCAGCCCGCACTCTGCACGCAGCCAATGGTGCCCTGCACACCAGCCCGCACTCTGCACGCAGCCAATGGTGCCCTGCACACCAGCCCGCACTCTGCACGCAGCCAATGGTGCCCTGCACACCAGCCCGCACTCTGCACGCAGCCAATGGTGCCCTGCACACCAGCCCGCACTCTGCACGCAGCCAATGGTGCCCTGCACACCAGCCCGCACTCTGCACGCAGCCAATGGTGCCCTGCACACCAGCCCGCACTCTGCACGCAGCCAATGGTGCCCTGCACACCAGCCCGCACTCTGCACGCAGCCAATGGTGCCCTGCACACCAGCCCGCACTCTGCACGCAGCCAATGGTGCCCTGCACACCAGCCCGCACTCTGCACGCAGCCAATGGTGCCCTGCACACCAGCCCGCACTCTGCACGCAGCCAATGGTGCCCTGCACACCACCCCGCACACTGCACGCAGCCAATGGTGCCCTGCACACCAGCCCGCACTCTGCACACAGCCAATGGTGCCCTGCACACCAGCCCGCACTCTGCACACAGCCAATGGTGCCCTGCACACCAGCCCGCACTCTGCACACAGCCAATGGTGCCCTGCACACCAGCCCGCACTCTGCACACAGCCAATGGTGCCCTGCACACCAGCCCGCACTCTGCACGCAGCCGATGGTGTGCTGCACACCACCCCGCACGCTGGATATTGAATGCAGCCGACAGTGTGCTGCATACCGCCTCGCACACCAGACGCTGCACGCAGCCAATGGTGCACTGCACACCACCCCACATGCTGGATGCTGCATGCACCAGTGGCACTCCGCACAACGCGCCCTGCTCTCAGCAGGCTGACAGCTGCGCACAGGGAGACAGGCCATGGCAGGCTAACTCATTCGAAAATCCCCTTCCCCCTCGGGATCATTCCAGAGCCGGAGGGCTCGGGACCCCGGGACCTGTCTAGAGCGGGACACCGCACTCTACCCCCGAGCCTGCCCGCCCCGGCGCTCTGCCCACACTCAGCTCCCAGCCCCAGAAGCAAGGATCTGTCCAGACCTGCCGATCTGGTCCCACTGACACCGGCTCCGCTCCGGCGTGGCCATGACCGCGGCGTGGAAGGTGGTCCAGCAGTACAGGGAGATCCACTCCAGGTAGGTGTCCCTGCAGTGGGCCAACCCCCCGTCCTCGGCGAAGGGGCCTAGGAGAAGAGACCTGCCCGTTAGTCACCCCAGGGGAGCCTTGGCGGAGCTCCAGGCTGGGCGCAGGCCCTGGCACCGCCATGCCAGCCTAACCTGCTCGGCCCTCAGCTCCTAACAAAGCACATGGGCTGGGGGCAGATGAGGACCCCAACCCGCAGCTCGGCCCTGTGTCCCTCCGCTCCTTCCACTAACTCTACCCCCACAGTCCAGCTCCTGCCCCCTCCCAAAGCCCAGAGAGCGTCCCTCGCACTGGGCTGTTGTCTGGGGCACGGCAGTGTTAGAACCAGCCCCAGGCTCTCCGGAGAGGCTGTTTTGAGAGCTCCAGCTAAGACAGGAGATCCCAGGGGGCTGGCCAGCCACTCCGGAACGAGCCTCAGTGCGGCACAGAGCTGGGACGGCAGCTTGCGAGCTGGCTGAGCTGGTGCAGTCGGGTGTTCCTAGGAATGGGAGCCTGGCAGGGCAAGCGCCGCGTCCCTCTCTCTGCCCAGCCCTGGGGCACCCCTCCACCCTGCCCCGAGTGGGTCTGCGATGTGTGATGCACGGTGCCCCCAGGCACGGTCCTGAGGACCCTGGGAAAGGTGGGCACAAGGGGCGTCACTCACCATCCTCCTCGAGATACAGGTAATGACCTGCAAGAACAAAGGGGCAAGATCAGCGCAGGCCGGGGAGGGCGGACGTGAGCCAACAGGGCCTGGCCAGGGGGAATCGGTCCAGCTGTGTCGGGGGCCCCATGAGCAGCGGGGGCACCGTCTCTCTCACCCTGGTCCAGGCTGCTCTAGCTGCTGGCTGGGACCTTGGGGAATCCTCCAGGAAGGGACCCCAGGAGCAAGGGGTCCCCATAATGCTGGGTGGGGGCCACGGGGGAGCTGAGGATGGCTCGTCCCTACAGCAGCCACCTCAAGAGCAGGGGCAGCTAGAGGGTGGGGGGGGGGTGGCGCCGGGGGAATGTGGGTGTTCAGGATCGGGCCCCCAGGATGGAGCCCAGGATCCCGCCTTGGAAAGCGAATGCAGGGCTCTCTTACTTTCATCTTCAAGGTCTCCGTAGGTCAGCTCCCCGTGGCCTGCAGCAGGAGAAAAGAAGCACATAAGAACGGCCAGGCTGGGTCAGCCCAAAGGTCCATCTAGCCCAGTGTCCTGTCTGCTGAGAGCGGCCAACGCCAGGTGCCCCCGAGGGAATGGACACAGCAGGGAGCCCTCCCCTGTCGCCCATTCCCAGCTTCTGACAAACACAGGCTAGGGACGCCTTTCCTGCCCACCTATTAGCCATTGCTGAACCTGTCCTCCATAATTTTATCTAGCTCTTTTTTGAACCCTGTTAAAGTCCTGGCCTTCATAATGTCCTGTGGCGAGGAGTTCCACAGGTTGACTGTGTGTTGTGTGAAGAAATGCTTCCTTTTGTTTCTTTTAAACTTTCAGCCTACTAAGGAGGAAAGGAGAGCGATTGTGGGAGAGGTGGGGGCTTGGGCCTTTGGTGCTTTGCCTCCCCCCCCCCAGGCCACTCTACACCCAGGCGTGTCACCTGCTCAAGCTGAGATGAGCGCTGCAGTCCCTCCCTAGCACAGGTCCAATCATACCTCCGGGGAAGGATTCCCATCCACCCCTGAAAGCTGCGAGTATGGGCCCCATAGCCCAACCACTCACCCGGGGCCCTGCACCAGCTCACCTGGACCTCCTCCCACCCCACCCAGCACAGCCCCACTGGCTCTTGGTGCCTTGGCCCGGAACAGCTGCCTCAGCACCACCGGCCGGGCCCTGGCTGGGAGCACGACACGCTGATCAGCCCCTGGGCTTCTAACCAGCCCAATAAGTCACCCAGAGCCACGTGGCACCTGCTCTGCCCAGGGCTCCTGAAAAGGGGTCCCCCGTGGGACAGCCCAGCAGAAAGGAACCCAAACCCCTGCAGGGGGGCAGGGGTGGGGAGTCAGAGCAGGCTATCTCCCTCCCCCCCCATATGCCAACTAGCCACCAGGGCAGGAGCCAGCCCACATAGTTGCCCCCTCCCCCCGGCCTTTCATGGCCCTACAGGCTTGTGCAAGGAGAGCAGCCCATGGCTCCCGCCCCCTCCTCTCTCCCTGCTGGGACCTCACAGCCGGGCAGAGCAGCCGGGCAGGGGCTGTGCGGGTGGGAGACAGCGAAGGGCTGGGCCCGGCTGGGGGAGCCGCTGCGCCCGGCCAGGTGATGCACAGAACCCTGGGGCCTGCACTGGGGTCCCCCCGGGGTCCCTCCAGCACAGCAGGGAG